GGTACTCCGGTTTCCTCCCACAGTCCAAAAACATGACTGTCAGGTGAATTGTTCTGTCTAAATTGTGTGTGAATTGTGAATGTGTGTGTGCATGGTTGTTTGTCCTGGCCAGGGTGAGCCCGCTTCTTGCCCGGAACGTTAGCTGGAGATGGGCACCAGCAACCCTCCCGACCCCACTAGGGACAAGGGTGTAAAGAAAATGGATGGATAATAATGATAAATACATTTATTTATTTTATTATTATTGGGGCCTTGCAACAGAGTTTCGCTTAATATGTAAATATTAAACTGAATGACAATAAAGTCTGTATATCTGTCTGTCTTTTTTATAGTTTCTCATTTAGTATGATCTACAAATGCAAAGAGGTTCCGCTAAACACACAGCTAAAAACTACTCAAGTGAGTAGTTGAGCCAATAAAGGTTGGCTTAAGAGGAAGTTTTGGAATACGCAGAAATAAATTCAGAAATCTGATATTTGGAGCATGACACTAAACCTGCTTATTGTTGCTAAGCAAGCCCTCCTAACATCTGATTGGCCAATAGTCAGAGACATCTTGCTCGTTATTGGCTACTTTTTTGTCAACATTTGGAGTTTTTTGTGCTCTGTGTAAAGTTATTTAAACAATGACAGAAAACAGCGGACGTTTACCAGTTTAATGTCGGCCGTTCTTGTATTTTGTTTTTAGGCAATAGACCCAAGGCTTTCAGTCGTAATGATTTGAGTTCAAATTTTCGTACGAACTACTGATTTTATAAGGAAGTACCGTAAATAAGTTGCTGACTCTGATTTATCAAATCAAAATGCAAATGTTGACATTATTTTGGAAGCGTTGACCGGAAGTTAAGCAGCGGCTGTTCACCAAATTGACGTGGACACAAGGGAGAGGCGCAGGGTGAGGTCTGTTGTAGTCGAGAAAATAATGGAGGAAATGAGGGAAGTTAAATGAGTGAAGCTTGTGATTTCATACCGGTTAAAAGCTTTATCCTACCGCTTTGACAGCTTCCTGTTGAGCTGCGGGCCTTTAAGTCTTCCTGATGTGTTAGCTGTTAGCTTCATGCCGCTACACCTGTGTCCGGCCAGCCGGCTTCTTTGTCTCACTTCATTATCATGCTCTGTTTGTCTGCCTGAACTGCACTACTTTGACTGGCTGCTTCCACAGGGACAAGTCTATCCTAATAGAGCCGAACAAATCAGCATGGAGTGAGACCTCTTTCCTTCTAGAAATGCATTATATCCACGTTGGATGCGTCCCGTTCACTATCATTATTTCATACAAATAGACGAGCTTGTCTTGCAAATGGCAGCCCTGAGATCTAAAGCTACATCCAGCGGGGACAGCTCCCTGAGGGATGGGAAGAGCAGCGCGGGCTGTCCCGCAGAAGCAGCAGCGAACAGTCGGATATACAGCCTGGATGAGCTGGAGACCATGGCCACTGTGGGTAAGTTTACATGTAGACACAACAGGGGAGGAAGGGCACGGAAATCCCACTCTGGAGAAGTTATTTTATTTAAAAGGGAAGTAAAATTCCACTTAGACGATATCAATTGGCATTGTTACAATGCCAAGTTGCAATTGGTATTGGAGGAAAAATGCGAATTTAGGCATTTTTCCTCCAATGCCTAAATTGGAGGAAAATGTATTCAAACGAGAAATTTTGATTCAGAATTCTGGTAGAAATAAATTGAAAAACGTGCAATTATTTTTAAGATATTGCCATGAAACTTTCACTAAATGTTTTGCTAGTGTTACACCTGCCCGCTATTTGCATCCAAAGACACGTCACCTTTCTCCCAGTGCATGAAATTAAATTAGATTAAAATTGTGCTGTTCTAGGTCAGTTAGGATTACCAAAATGATACAGAAGTTTACATTCATCTCCTCAGTATTTGGTAGAATAAATCTTTACATTTTATTTTTGGATTCCTTCCATGAGCTTCTCACAATAGTTTTCTAGAATTTTGGCCCATTCCTCTTGATGGAACTGGTGGAACTGAGTCATGTCTTCCCCCTTGCTCATACACTTTTTCATCTCTTTTTCCCTTTTTCTTCTTAATATTAACATTATCTTTATGTCCAAACAGTTTAATTTTAGTTGATCACAGGATGTATCTTCAAAACTGTTACTATCTATTTGTAAATGGCTGTTTATGTTGCTTTTGGAGAAATGGCCTCTTGTTCCCTGAGCAGCCTTTAGCCTATATGTTGGTAAAGGACTTGTTTCACTGCAAATAACACCGTTAACTTACAAGTTTCTGTAGCATCTTAACAAAATCTTGAGCTTTTGTTAAGGGGTTAAATCGCTCATGTCCCACCAGAACCTGTGTCCATCATTTTTATAGAGAATCACAATTCCTGGTCCTGGGAATTCAAAATGCTCAAAAATCTATTTTAGTCTGCTTATATTTTTGTAAAATCAGAATTGGAATAATTACTTGATATTAGTTTTGTTTAAGAAAGGGCCAGTCATCTAAGCACAGCTAATTCTGGTAATTTAAGTTACAGAACTTAAACCTATTTTTGCTTAAATATAAACCAATGGAATTTGACACAGTAAGGAACTTTATAAAATAATTGTATTTGCTTACACAGATGCTAATTGAAAGATTTGCATCTGTAGTGAGTGGGCATTCCCATGCTGTTAATGGCTGCAGATAACTGGACAGATGAATGTGGAATGTTCACATGCCAGGACATTTCAGGTGGTCTTTCCAAAAATTTTAGCAGACTTAAACTTGAAAAGTTTAGTCTGATTTAATTTCAGAAAAAATGGCATTTTTAAAAAGTTTATGTAACTGTCAGGGATTGTGTTTATGTAATCTGGATTCATGTTCATGTTTTACCTCTCAGGAATAGGAAGTACAAGATGCACAATGAAAAAAACTGCAGAAACTGGTGACCTTTGTACAATGAATCTTTGGCTGTTTCAGTCAGAAGTTCTATATTTCAGACCTACATAGTGGGATTTAACCTTCGAAGTTGGAGTGGGTCTGAAAATTGGACTAATCTGACCTTTAAATGCTGCGTTTGAGACATAATTAACAGACTGGAACAGGAAGAGGTTTAAATGCATTTACATTTAAAATGTAGCTGCATACCATGTTTACAGTGCATATTTTTTCACAATTTGATTCTTATTAAATAGATTAAGTTAAAACAGCTTTCTGAATGCAGAAACAGCTTTCAGTATTTACTGAACATGAAACATAATAATCAAAA